AATAGAAGAAAAATGTTGAGAAATGAGATTTAGAATGAACAAAAGCAAACCATAACATTTGGGGGGAAATACTCTAAAATGTTTATGTGAGTAGCCCTTTAGGCATCAGTTAAGATGGAATTACTGTGGCTGTCAGGTAAGCAGTGGACTCCTAATCACAAGATCCGAGGTGCAAACACACCAGCAGCTCCATGGGAGACAAATGAAGCCATCTTCTCCCATAAGGCTTGACTGCTTACGAAGCCCTACAGAGGGTCACAATGAGTCATAAGCAACTTGATGGCAGTGGGATTCTATGAAATAGATGGCCTGGTGTTGATGTGTATTAGGCAATGGGTTGCTAACCAGGAGGATGGTGATTCAAGTCCATCCACCATCTTGCAGAAGAAAGATGAGACTGCTTGCTACCGTAAAAATGTAGTTTCAGGAACCCTATTTATGGTTGCTAGGAGCCTGGTAATGTAGTGGGTTGTGAGGTGTGTTGCTGACTACAAGATAAGCCATTGAAAACCACCAGCCGCTCCAAGGAGAAAGATGAGCCATCTGGTCCCATAAAGCTTTACAGCCCAGGAACCTGTTCTACCCTGTTCTATAGGGGCCACATGAGTTGGAATCAATTTCACATTACTTGGTTTTATTATTATTTTTTAAAATTTCCATTGAAATCAGTGCTTCCATGAGTTTCTGGGGCAGAGTGGAAGGAAAACACGGGTGGCATGAGGTCAGTCTTTTGGCCGTGCAGCAAAGACAATCTTAATACTGCTTCGTTTTCTCAAAGTCAAGACGATCATAATGGCGTAAACACAAGTCACATATAAACATGGTTAGTTGGTTTCACTACCGGGCGCCTGGGTAGTACCGTGGTTATGTGTTGGACTGGGGTCTACGAGGGCAGCCATTTGGGGGAAAGATGGGGCGTTCTTGTCCCCTAAAGAGTCACAGTCTCAAAAACGCACATGGTCAGCTCGACCCTGTCCTGCTGGGTCACTGTGAGTCAGCACCGACTGGATGGCAGTGAGTTTTCTCTGGCTAGGTCTTGTTAACCAAATGGTGGAGCTACTTACTGCCTACGGTTCAGATTAAATATTTTAATTAAAAACAAGAAAATTGACAAATGAAGAGTTGGTCTCTTTCTGTGTCGTTCATCTTCACATCTCATACGAGGGGGTCAACAACGTCTGGAGACATGACGAAACATCGATGGAAGAATACCCTCTGGAATAAAGCTGTAGTCACCAGGGAACCAAAAACCACACAAAGCAGTTACTTCTGAGGACCGGAGGCAGACAGTAATAAGGAAAGAAATTGTTGGCTTTCATTATGAACTTTTCCGTACTGTTTAATACCTAGGTCTTTAATAAAATTAAAAGGAAGGGCCCAGAAAAAATATATCCTTATCATCAAATGTTTATAGACCAGAACAAAGAAGCTTTCACTTAAATGTGATTAAGGGAAATGTAGTTCAAATAAAAAGTATAATTTATCATCATTGACACAAAAGAGTGCAGAGCTAAAAATATGAATAGGAAGGCTCAGTGAAATTAAAGACTACTTGAAAAACTACTCCTAACCTTTTGACGATAGAAGGAAAACAAGAACCTTCTCAAACATGGAACCCTTAGTCAAATATCACCTAGAAGCAAGGACAAGTGATATTTCGTGATTCATTATTGGATGCTGTCATTTTTACTGCTCATTTCAAAAGGTTCCTCACATTCCTATTGCAGCTGCGATTGTGTTTTTATTCTGATACCTAGATGTCTAAGGTCCAGTAACTACATTATTCTGAAACTGCAGAGAACACAAATAAAGACCTAAAAATAATAAAAGCAACACCCATAGGTGGACAGAAGCATCTACACCTAAGTAGTTGACGTGTCAAAGGAAATCCCTGGTGTAACTTTTTTTTAGTTTTAAATGTAGCCCTTCAAAACATCTAAAATGTCAGCAGCAATTTTTGAACCTAAAATGTTCAACTTTAATCAAAATATTTTCTTCTACAAAAACAAAGAAAAACCCATAGTGAACTAAACGGCACTGTGTGACATGATTACGCTGAGAGAGAAAGCTATGGACTATGTGAAAAGAACCCAACTAAACGGAGAACAGGTTTAATGTGCGCCCCCCACTCTTCTGATTCCCATCGTACCAGACAGTCCCTGAAGAAAATCAGAAATTATAAAGCCAAAGCCCACAGGCACCCAGTCAATCCTTATGTAGGTGTGCTGAGGCTGTACATCTTTATGGGGACAGAAAGCCTTTTCTTGAAAGAAAGCCAAATACAATCTCCATATCCCTCCCTCACAGAAGAAATATGCTAAAATTTTGGTGATTAATGAACAGATTTTGAAGATTTTCTTATGGGACATACAATTTTATAGCTCAATTATTATTATGCAGTGAGCACCTCTCCCCTTATCAAAGCTTGATTTTCAATGGCTGCATAGAATTTTCTTTCTAACATTTTATTATGTAAGACTCTTGGAAGGATTTTACAAGGGAGATCTCTCTACTCAGCACCTAGATGTTAGCATTAGCATTTTCTATGCAGGCATTATTATCTCCTATTTATTTCTCTATGCACCCAACAGGGGGATATGGGGTGCAACAGTTAAGCACCTGGCAGCTAATGGAAAGGTTGGTGGTTTGAACACCCCCCACCAGCAGCTGGCTGCTCGGGAGAAAAGCCCTGGCCATCTCTGCTCCCTTAGAGGCGGCGGGCGAACCAGAAACTGCTCTCTGAAGTTCCTTCCTCCCACGGGGACTCAGAAGCACCTAACAAAGTCCAACTAACAGTTCACCTTATGCTTCGGAGACGCATCAATGGCAGTTTTCAGGTACTCTTTCAGGGAGCTGTGGTGGTCAGCACAGTGGTAAAGCACTCAGCTGTTGACCTGAGGTTGGCAGTTCCAATCCACGTATCAGCGGTTGCTTTCTACCTGCACTGGGTGGTCCCAGGATGGCTTTGTTTAACTTTCTCCTGTTGGTGTAAGCTGTGGCTCTGTCCAGTTTGGACTAGTGTGAATAAAACCACTGTGAATGAATTATACAAGTCTGCTTGTTTTCTGTATCGTGTTGTCATTTCTCCTGAGAACGAACCGAGTCTTGGAATTGCTGGGCCACAGGGCACGAGTCTGTGTGGTTTGACAAGTATCTGCCGGATCCTTTTCTGAAGGGAATTTGTCATCGCGCACTGCCATCCGCTCTGGATGAAAGTCTGACTCTCCCACAGAGGTGCCAACATCCAGGGTTTTCTGTCCTTGTCATTGTCAGCCATTCTCCCAGTAGCACAGAAGGTCATTTTATGGATGTGCCGACATGTATTTAACCAAACCCTTCAGGGTGGACATTTAGATTGTTGTCAAGGTTTCGCATATTCAACGGCACTGTGATAAATGCACACTCCGCCTCTGTAGTTCTCCCTATTCTGCTCCATCAGCTACAACATACAGGACTGTGGTTTAAAAGCAAATAAATAAAAGCAGGAACAGTAGAATCTTTTCTTGCTGCTGACTTTACGGAACTTCATTCTAATGCCAGGAAATAGTCATTTCGTACGTTGACCCTCCTATCTAACTTCCCCTCACATAGACGTCAGAGGAGGCAAGTCCGATGTGAGCGTGGCAAAAAGCTGCCGACTGCTGGCATGCCGTGAGTGCTGTCCTTCTCAAGCCGTCACCCCTCGCCCTGCACACCCACGCTGGAAACCCAATGCCAGCCTCATCGCTCATCAACATCTAATTGGTTCCAGGTCTCTCTCCTTCCAGGCAGGGCCTTGTCTTCGACGTCCTCTGTTCACGGTCCTGAGAGGATTTTAGCCCCTCGACGTCTTGAAATATCCCCATTTAGCGATTTAATTTACCAAGTCACCAGTGAGGTTTCTTCCAGTGACACCAGCCCAAGCTTCGAAAAAGAAAAAGCACGACATCAAGAACGGAACAGGTTTTCACTCTCAAATACCAAGAGCGACATCCGTGCGTGCCAGCCCTGACCACCGAGGGCCACGCTTCAGTTGTGTTGCCGTGTAATGTGGGGAAGGGGCCCCGGAGGGGCAGCGGTTAGGCGCTCAGCTGCTAAGCCGAACGACAATGATTCCGCTTTCTTTTGCCAAGTAAACTCGTTACATTATTTGAAACCTAGTCCATAGGTGCTCTGGGAAATTCGGTCATAGTGCCCGGCACTTGTTGCTCTTGGCCGGGGGTCTCCCAGCACAGTTATCTGCCAGCAGGACAACACGTGACTGCTGGAGCGAGCACGCCAGGGAGCACAGGCGCCTTCCGGACAGCACGAGCTGCCTGACACTCAGCCCCTCCGTCCCTCTAGCTCCTCGGTGAATAATGATCAGGGCACGTGGTTTTTATAGTCTGTGCAAATTAGAAATTAAGTTTGTTCACTAATAAAGCTGCTGCTTCCAGATTAAGGCAAAATCAACTCCCTCCTAAGCAGATTCAGGCAAAATTCACATAAAAATCACATGCAAAATCCTACAAAATGGAACGCCAGGGACTTAGAAAGTACCTTAAAATGTGTCAGCTCCATTTAATTTCTTGATGTTTCTGAAAACGGTAAACATTCTACATAATCTCAGAGAATCCTCTGAAATGTTTTTGTCTAGCTAGCCCATTGAAATTCTGTAGAACTATACGCGTGGTTAACGAAGTTACACAATAGGAACAGATTTTACCTAGGTTAGTTACTGAGCATGTGCACTGGAACTTCGGTGACCAGAGAACAAGAACAGGCCCACAGTGCGCACGCCCATTGAAGCACTGGAGCACAGTGATCTGGAAGGAAACACCTGGTAACGGCCTGGGTCACACTCATCCTCCAGCCACGGAGTGCTCAGGGAAGGCGTGTTGGCATGCGCACGGCCGCCACTCGAGGCTCTGGGTGTGCGTTCTCTTTGACTCCGTGCCCAGTTCATACTGCGGCATGGCAGTCCCCCCCACAGGCCCAGGAAAGAAGTGGCGTGGCTGAGCGGGGAGTCCACAGAAACGTACTCAATTCCATGGTAGTGGCATCCCGAGGCTTTCTCAAAAGGCAAGACCCGGAGTTTCCTAGGACTAAGTTCTGGCGTCAGAACAAACGTCTTCTCCCTGAAACAAAAAGGAGCCATCTGTGTTTAAGCCTAAGTGTCAAGAAAGTGCCCAAAGAGACAAGTCTGACTTCCTCTTCTACAACCACCTCTTACATTCTGTACATCTAAGAGTCGCCACACCAGAAAGCCTGGGAGGAAGTCAAGCCAGGTTAGGGAGGCCTGGGAGCTTTGCTTCTTGCATGGTCTATGCACTGAGTTTCTGAAGTTACCATGCTAACTAGTTCACAAAACTATTTTGAGTTTAGGATACATCAACATATGAAAACCATTTGTAATAGAAATTCTAGAAGTAACATTTTTTCCTGGAGGATTTTCTTCTTTCTCCTGTGAAGGAGTGTGCTAATGTTTCCACATTTAATCAAATCTTTTTTGTGGCAAGGAAGGAGGAGAATAAAGTCCACGTGAATCTATGGTAACAAGAGAAGTATTTACTTCCTATTATACCATGTAAGAAGGAGCCCTGGTGGTGTCGTGGTTCCACATTGGGCTGCGATCTGCATGGTCAGCAGTTCGAAACCACCAGCAGCTCCTCGGGTCAAAGACTGGGCTTTCTACTCTCATGAACAGTTACGAGTCTCAGAACCCACAAGGGAGCAGTCACCATGAGTCAGCTTTGGCTTGGTGGCAGGGAGTTTGGTTTGGGAGACCGTGTAAGACCCCAAGCTTCTTTGGTCAGATGTAGTTTTCTTTACACCTATTTAAGTCAGCATTGAATGATTATCAGGGGGACAGAAAGTAACCACTAATCTCAGTTCTTCTTTTGCAACTCCTCTCAGGTTTTCTGCTCACAGAACAATCAGGTGGGAACATACTGAAAATACTCATGCTTAAACCCTGCCACCCCAAGACCTGCCAGTTAAATCAAATCTTGGGTGGGTGCATTTAGGTAAAGCTCTCTGGGTTAGGTGAGGCTGCCATCTGTTGCCCGGCTGCAAACGCTGGCTCAGTACAGTGAGTTGTGCTCCTGAAGCTCAGAAGAGGTTAGGAGGAAATTCGAGATTTACAAAATGAGTGGGCTTTTCAGAGTTCATGACCAATTTCCTGCCCTGAAGTGGATTCCGACTCAAAACACCCCGACAAAGAGGCTATAAATCTTGTAGAAGCAGAGTTCTCCCACAGAGCAATTGGGTGGAACCTCTCAGTCAGCAACCCGACGGCACCTGTCTCTTCACATGGCTAACGAGCGAGAACATCAGCTTGGATTGGGAAGACTCGGAGTGCCACCGGGGCTGAGAAATGGCATGTGGAAAGGGGGAAAGTGCTGTCCCATTTCCCTACAGCGACAGGGCTGAGCCCTGAAGATGCTCCACGGAGAGCTGTACAGTAAGCACACAGACCGACTCACAAATGATTCCTTTCCAACCAGCGCTCTGTCCGCGGTCAGGCGGCTCTGACAGAGCTGATCCCTCATTTTTTAAACACGTTTTCACGATCATGCCTTTTGATATCCGTATCTTTATAAATCCAATCTTTATTTGTCTTTAGGGATGGCAAACATTACGCATATCCTTATAGATACACTGAAGAGTAGAAACACTGTATGTAGCACATTATTACTAATAATCGGGTGTAAAATCAAAACATAAAGGGGGCAGTCCTCTATGACTCAAATACTTTGGGTCCTTCATTTCCTGAGTGGCTAAGGTTAAATGTAAAGATCATAGTCAGCCGATAAACTTGGAATCAAACTTATAAATTTTGCCTCAGCACTGGGCATCAATTAACATGGAGAATGAGATACAATCTTATTTTTGCATAATTAGGAGGGGGGAAAAGGCGGCCCAAATTAAAGGTTATAACTTACCCCTTTTGAATTGGTAAAGGTTGAAGATCTCCAACGGGGAATCCATCTGAGGTAAAGTGCTTAAGCAATTCTTTAGCATCCAATAATGTGATGGAGTCCCGGGGACCCTCTCTGTGACCCAGCAACTGTTCCGATGAATGCGATAATGAACCAGTTCTGTGAGGTAATGATATCAGTGCTATTACAAAAAGGATCCGAGCTCTCCGCCGTCAGGAAGTGACGTCACCAGACAGCAGACGACCCAGGAAAACGGAAACTACCATTGAGTGACAACTGAAACAACAAAGGAGAACCCCTGCAAGCCACGCAGTGTCAAATCACCTTCACAAAGCTCCGAGCCACAGTGCAGGCCACCGTCGTCAAGGCAGTGGCACTCTTAGTGACAGAAAGTAAATATGACGAGTTAGTCAGGACTCTGAGGCCACCCATTCCATAAAATTCCATCTGAATCCTCTTGTCTTTTCTGAAAAACCCACATTATTGCAAATTTTTGAGCTGAGGTACTGAATGTTCTATTTTTTTTTTATCAACTTGAAAGATTACTTGAAGCCCAACCGTGAAATGAGACAATAAACAGAAATATCTCTGAGGTCTCTTCTAAGCATGAATATGACATCATGAATAACTGCAGAATCAGCAGGACTGTCTTCTTTTCTAAACACACACACACACACACCAGCACTCCCTTGTCACAAACCTCCTTGACAAAGGCAGAAGAGGTCTTACCTGAGACTGAAGCAACATCTAAAGACCCAGTACAGAGAAATCAGCATCCCAGCCACACAGAAAGCGAGTATTATATCTACGTGTCAGGTAAAGATGCTAATATACAACAAGTAGCATTTCGGGCACCAAGACAAGCCATTTAAAATGACTGAACCAGAATCTAGATTTTCTGATTCAGAATTACACAACACCCCCATTCTAAAAACTACAGGGCTAACCAAAAGTTTCCAAAACTAGAATGGAGAAAATCCTTTAGTTTCAGGAAGGCTAATGAACTGTCAACCACTTAGTCTGTCAACCTGGCACAACATAAAGTCTTTATCTACAACACAGAACATGAGTTAATTTCTTGACTTGACATTGACTACTTTATTTCCTGACTACTTTCTTACTCCTTCACTGTCTGCCAGTGTGTCACCCAGTTTAGTGGCTTGCATGTTGCCTTGATGCTAGACGCTATGCTGCGGGTATTTCAAATACCAGCAGGGTCACCTGGGATGGGCAGAGTCCAATGGCACTCCAGATTTTAAAAAACAACTAGGAAGGCCTGGCAGTCTACCAAAACCTGGTCAGTGAAAACGCTATGAACAGTAGCAGGACTCTGTCCGAAACGGTGCCAGCAGATGAGCTCCTCAGGCCTTTGGGTGGAAACTCAACATACAACTGGGGCCAATCGGCCTCCTCCAAGCACAGTCCACTTCAAGATCGCAGGCAGAAAGGGGCCTGGGGACCTGCATTTGCTGATGCAGCATAACTCAAGTTGAGACGAAACCACTGTAAACAACCATGGATAACCAGGACACGGAATATACAAATGATGAATTTAAGAAAATTAGAGATTGTCAAAAATGGAAGGGAATGCTTGAATAAAAACACATGCACATTAGTGAATTGAAATGGACTAGTATTGGCAACACCAAATCACGTGGTCTACTATGTCAGATACAGCCAATAGAAGATGAATATCATCACATTCACTACCAAAAACAGTACTCCAAGATCCATCCTGAAGTACAATGAGGCCACTGGGAGAATAATAGCCATACATACAAAGAAGCCCAGTCAAGAGAATTCATATTCAAATTTATGCACTAACTCCTAATGTCAAAGATGAAGAAAATGATAGAATTTTGACCAATGACCCATTCACTGGAAATCACCTTTTCAACAACATCCATGGTGACTGTACACGTGGACCATGCCAGATAGACTACATACAAATCAAATCAACCACAATACTGGAAATAAACTATGGAGAAAGAAGCTCCACATCATCAGCCAGACAAGGCCAAGGGCTAACGGTGGAACACAATAAAATCAAAATAAGTCCATGAGAGTTGAAATATGCTGCTGAGTATATCCTACCTGAATTTAAGAGATAATCAAGAGTAGATTTGGCATGTTGAATATTATTGACCATAAAATAATAAACCGTGTATTGGCATGCGGGAAGTTTACATAAAGAAAGCAAATTATTAGGAAAACAAGAAAGAAAAAACAAAAATGGATGACAGAAGAAACTTTGACGCATACACAGACATAGAGGAGCTAGCGAAAATAGCACGAAACGAGCGAAACAGAAGCTTTCAAAGGGCAGTTCTGAAAACAAAACAAAGTACTACAAGGAAACATGAAAAGACCAGACCTAGAAAAAGCACATTCAGCATTTCTCAAGCGGAAAGAACTGGAGATAAACTCAATGCACGAGTTGCCATATTGAAGGACTCTATGGACAAAGACTGAACAACCTAAGAAGCATCAAAAGAAGATGCAAGAGAGGCACAGTCGTTGAAACACAAGAAATGTCAACATTCCACCATTTCAAGACGTAGCACATGATCAAGAACTAACGGTACTGAAGAAAGAACTGCAAGGCACACCAGAGGCATTAATGGAAAACATGGCTCCAGGAACTGATGGGATGCCAATTGAAATGTTTCACCAAATGACTGCAATGCTGAGAATGCTCAGTACTTTTTAGCAGGGAATTTGGAGGACAGCTACCTGGCCAACTGATAGACGAGATCTGTATTTGTGCTCATTTTCAAGAGAGGTAACCCAACAGAAAGTGGAAATTATTGAATAGTATCATCAACATCAACATAAGTTAAATTTTGTTGAAAACAACTCAAAAAGAGTTACAGCAGTTCATCAACAAGGAACTGTCAGAAATTTAAAAAACTCGAGAGAATATGGAATGCAAGGTATCATTACTGAAGTTGGTTGAATATTGGCTGAAAGCAGAAAATACCAGAGAGATGATTATCTGGCTTTTACTGATTATGCAAAGGTATCCGACTAGAAGGATCATAACAAGTTACAGATAACATCACAAAGAATGGGAATTCCCACATATGCTCATGTCGGACATAAGAATAGGCAACAGCAGTCATTCAAATAGAACAGAGGATATTGTGTGGTTCAAATTCAGGAAAGGTAAGCATCAGAATTGTGTCCTTTCACCAAGTTTATTGCATCTGTGGACTACATGACAGCCATCAGGATTGAAAGGAAGTCTCATTAACAACCTCAGCACAATCCTGCTGGCTTTAAGTGAGGAGGATATACAGTATTCACTGATGCAAATCAAAGACCACATTCTTCAATATGCATGAATTCAACTAGAGGCTATCAAGCCGATTCTGATCCACAGCAACTTTATAGGACAAGGCAGAATAGCTCCTTTGAGTTTCTGAGCGTTCTAAATCTTAAAATCCGGAGTTAATTTGTTGATGTCAAATGCCAGTTTCTTCCCTTTTCTCATGGCCATGTCCTTATTAAATGGTTTTCTCCATTTTGCTTCCATCTTCTTTGTAATAATTGATATGAACATCTCTCTAGATTAATTTTTTTAAAAAAGCTAGCTAATGAATAAGGAAAATTGAAGTAAAGTCGGTGTCTTTGAAACAAGGTGCGGGGGAAGAACACTGAGTGTGACAGGGCTGCCAGAAGCATGAACAAGCCTGTCTTGGAAAAAGTACAACCAGACTCCTTCTTCCAAGTGAGGACGGCAAGACTTCGTCTCATGTACTCTGATAAGTTATTAGAAGGGACACCATGCTTGGAAAAGTGGAGGGTCAGCAAAGAAAGAGAAAGCCCCTCAATGAGACGGATGGACAAAGTGGCTGTACCAATGCACCGAAACTCAGCAGCAACCTTAAGGATGGCAGTGTTTAATACTGGTACATACGTAGGATCGCGACGACTCAGAACTCACTCAACGCCTAACAAGAACAATGGATAAGTAAATGACTGAAAGGTTGCCATGATGGCTTTAGAAGGACATCTCTCTACATCAAAATGCTGAGCAGAGTCCCTCTTTCACCTTTCTTTCTCTCATTGTAAACTTGAAAATAGAAACCGAATACAAATAACCAAAGAAAACACTCAAACTATGTTTTTCTGAACTTTATGTTAGGAGGGCAGAACTTCAATTTAAGTTCAATTTAATTCCTATAAAGCTACCCACTAATAGTGACTCACATATATTTCATAATGACTATTACACTCAATCATTTTATAAGCTAGATACAATAGGGAAATACATCATTTGCATTTATATAGAATCTTGGACATGAGAATATCGAAGCAATTTACAACCCCAGTTTGTGATAAATTACACTACAAAGATATGTCTTGAGTTAAAAATAATAGCAGCACTGATAAAACCTTATATATATTTCCGTGTTTGCAAGCCTACAAAATAGTTTTCATATTTAATCTCATTATATTTTTAATTCATGAAGTATAAGAGAGATTGTTATCACCATCTCAAAGATGTGGCAAAAAACTCACACCACAGGTGACTGACTTTGTCTAAAATCAGAATCTTACAACTTCTGAATTTCACTATGAGGATTCCTTATTTGCTGGTTAAACCTGCTGTAACATAGAACACATTTGGAAAACATGCAACATCCTTTGCCCCCCAAACATGAAATCGATGTCATCTCCCACCTGCTGATGCATCCACAAGTATTTATTGAGTGTGTGCCTTGTAAACATCACTACATGTGCACTAACAGGAGTTGACAGTTTATGAAAAGATGGTAACGTGTAGACCCGTAATCCCCGCTCCTGAATTAATGTGTAAAGATGAGTTCAGAGGAGTCAGTCAGCAAAGAGAGAGGAGATAAGCACCTTCTTATTTTTAGCAGGCATTTCATGCTTCTGACAACAGTGGGAAAATCTGCCATCTGACTATTCTGTGAATTAGCCTGCAGAGGTCCCACGTCTGTCAGATCCGTGGCTGAAGCAGCCAGCTTTCTCAAAGGCCACCTCCGGGTCCCCTCCCGACCACTGGAGCCATCACTACAGCTGGTCCTGATTTTCAGGGAGCCCTTCTGAGCGGAGCCTGTGAGTGCCCAGAGGGGTCCAGAACGCGGCAGGACAGGAGAGGTTGCTGCTACTGCTCCCCTCCACCCAAGTGCCCTGAGGGGACAGGCCTAGGGACTGCAGCAGGAGCTGCTGTCCTCTTCCTACTGTGGCCGGGGATGCTGAGCAACTTTTCGGCGCAGCGGTTAGTCTCTGGGTTCTCAGTCTCAGAGCCGTGCATTGCTCCGCCATAAATCTAAATGTAACGAAGTTCAGCGTGCCAATTCATAAACTGTGGGAAATAACCTCAGAAGCTGTATCACAAAATGTTCCCTGCGAGAGGCCTTGGAAGGCTGAAGTCGAGTCCAGGGGAAAGAAGAAAACCATCTCCCCCTTCACTAATATGTATGCGTCCACCATCAGCATGCCTGCGTTTCAATTAGACTGTCAGACAGCACGTCATAAAAACAATTTTAAAGATTAAGAAAAGCTCATCAGAAATCACTGAACTGTAAGATGTTCTACAGCAGATTCAAAGATTACCTCAATTTTTGTTTAGCTTTTGCAAAAGTTTCCAGGTTTTGAAGAACATGCTTTTCTGGCCATTGGAGAGGATTGGTTTCTGTCAGGCCTGAGTCGTCAGGTTCCGCTGGGATGGTGTCTGAGGCAGACAAATACACAAACATAAGTGCTGAGAAGCACAGACATGTGAAAGCTTGCTAAGAACCCATCCAGATGCCAGTAAGCGTGTGTTTAACTGTACCTCACTAAAGGCCTCTGGGACAAGTTGCACAGCACTTATTTTAAGTGTGTACCAAGGCCTCGTTGATGGCCTACGCTGTGAAAAATGCCACTGAAGAGTATGCTGGGAATGAAAAAGAAAAGTGGTGTTCCACTATGTCCCCATAATAAAATATATGAGCTAGAAATCAGAACACAGCAATAAACACTGTTAGGACTCAAGTCAAAGAAAAGTATAATTTTTCTATTTTTAGGGAAATTTGTTCTAAATGGAAAAAGAGGCCAAACACAGAAAAGGCATTCAACAGACCCAACCATAAATTGTACTCTATGGTCATTTTCTCATTTAACTCTGGGTTAAAAAAAGTAAAATTGTATTCTCACAGAATACGAATGAAAAATTATCCTCTACACTTGAAGATGTATCAGGCAGTCCTTGAATTTGTCTGAAGAATTCAACACGGCTCACTCTATTCAGATTCATTACAACAATAAAAATCATGAAATTGAGGAGGCAGCAAGCAGATAAAAACAAACAAGTCCCTGCTTCCCAGTGAAGTTCCAGCCATACTAAACGACAAATATGGAAATCTGAACATAGCCATTTTAGCTACACTAAGTTTTCCAGGCAGGTTCTACTTTTCTCAGTTTATGAAAGTATAGCTTCACAGAAACGCACCAACTTCAGCAGCTTAGGAGTAGTATAACAAAGACCTCTTAAAAATGTTCTTCCCACAAAAAATCTTACCATAGTGAATGATGCGGGGAGTGCGGAGTGGAGATCCAAAGCCCATTAGTAGGCCACTGGAGATCCCCTTGCAGAGGGGTCTCGGGGAGGAGATGAGCCAGTCAGGGTGCGATGTAACAATGATGAGAAATACAATCTTCCTCTAGTTCCTAAAGATTTCCTCCCCGCTCCCACTACCATGACTCGAATTCGACCTTGCAAGACTGGCTAGACCAGAGGAGGTACACTGGTACAGATAGGAACTGAAAATACAGGGAATCCAGGACGGATGAGCCCTATAGGACCAGTGGTGTGAGTGGCAAAACAGGGAGGGTAGAGGGAGAATGGGTAGGAAAGAGGGAACCGATTACATGGAACTGTGTGTGACCTCCTCCCTGGGGGACAGACAACCGAAAAGTGGATGAAGGGAGACGTCGGACAGGGCAAGATATGACAAAATACCCATTTATAAACTATCAAGGGCTCATGCGGGAGGGGGGAGCAGGGAGGGAGGGGAAAAATGGGGACCTGATGTCGGGGGTTTAAATGGAGAGAAAATGTTTTGAGAAACGATGTACAAATGCGCTTTACACAATTGATGTGTGTATGGATTGGGATAACAGTTGTGTGAGCCCCTAATAAAATGTTAAAAAAAAAAAAAAAATGTTCTGCCCTCTACTCAGAAACACCACCACCAAACATACTTAATGAAGCAGTTAACAGAATGTGTAAACGACAGAAACAGAGCACCTTATATGTACATGCTCCTCCTCCCTGAAGGAGAAAAGGAGGCTGCTACCCCTGGAAGGAGTTAGCCTTGGAATCCCACGGGGGCATTTCTGCCTTGTCCAAGAGGGTCGCGATGGGTCACAATGACCTCGACACAGTGCGGAGTTAGGGACGCCTCACATCCTGACTCGTTCCTTGTCCTGCACTGTGCATTTACAAGAGTGAAACATCTACTATCTAACTACACACGCTAGTGACGCATCCTGGCAGCAGTGAACGCCAAGACGCGAGGTGAAAGGAACGCTGTGAACATTTGGCGGAACAATGGTTCTCAGTGGTCCAGAAGTCATAGAATGATAATCCGGCAGCTGGGTAATGAGATCGGTTAGCTATGGAACGCTATGACTTGGCAGTGATGTAATGATGAAATCTGACAGTTTGTAATGCAGTAGTCATCCTCCTTTTTTTTGTGAGCTGACATGGGCATCTCTATTTTTTTTCACAATACCAATTTTTGCATAACAGCTTGGTTTCTGGAATCTCAACATATTTAGTGAGGAATGGGTGGAACACATGTATCTAAAAATAAATCATTATTCTACTTTGTACAACATATTTGGATTTGACCAATACACTCTATAGGTATAACTACCAAAAAACCCCAAACTTACCATTTAACTTACTGGAGATATTTTTTCCTGTCTTTGATAGAACTGTGTTAGGGATCACAGCATTAAACTGATGTAAAAAGTGCTCCCTCGTGAGTAGTAACAGAGTTTTGAGCTCACCCATAGACACAGCTTCAGGCTGCTCTGCCAACTCTCTCCTTTCTGGAAGACAACAAATCAATACAATTAGCCCCATGACTGTTATTTTACAGTCTTTCCAGAGCTCACGTTCTACTCTTTTATAGAAACTATTTTTAAAAAGCGAAACAAGTGAATTTCTGGAGCAAATTAACAGTTTTGTGCAGCCCACTTTGATCTTGATCTCATTCACAGGGGCTTGCAGAATTTCCAGTTAGGTGAATTAAACAGATTGAAAGTAATTTATCAATGCCAAAAGGCTGATCAACAGTAATGGGGAATCTGTGGAAGTTTTAAAAGGTATAATGTTGAGCATTAAAAGTGGCTTTATATTAATGGTTTACAGAAAAAAATAAATAAATGCAGCTAAGAGTTTCAGTTAAATAGGGTTCAGCCTGGCCATTTCTATTAATGTATTCTTCCCCCATCTAAAAGCCTGAGCAACACAAAATAAAGGGGGAATAAAAAGGGAAGTGATACATACTGATGGATTTCAGCACATTTTGGAAGACAAGGATGATGGCAAAGGGTAGCTAAGTCAGCAGAGCAGCGGCAAAGCCAACTCCAGCGCCTGCTGACACTGCCTGCCCGAGGCATCAGGATGGCGGCAGGGAAGCACTGGACTGCAGGAATCAGGAGCAGTGAGAAGTCTAGCCCCGCCCCCTCTGGCCTTCAGTCAGGCAACTAGGCTCTGATTTTTTGGGTTGAAATTGAGTCCCCTGGATCATCACACACAAAGGAAGGTGGTGAGGCTGGTGTAAAAACTAAAGGATCAAATAAAAGCCTTCCTACTAAAAGACGGAGCCAGGGAGAGTTTATAGTAAAACTTGCCAGATAATAAATTCAGAGATGGTCATATAAAACATCTAATTTAAAATAGAACTTCCAGAAAGAATCACTAGATGGTTTAAATGTTTAAAAAGGCTGTTGGGGCGGGGGG